ATAAATTTCCTAAAATTATCTCTACAAAATAAATCTTTTCTCAGGATGTTGAAGGCAGGCAGGTGGATGAGGCCGTTTTAAGCCTTTTCCACACGTTACTTTTTCATCGATCAACGGGCAAATTCCACTATAAGAATGATGACACATATGCAGTTGGGACCATAGGCTTCCAAGATGTGGACTGCGATTTTATTGATTTCACCTATGTGAGTTCTTCTTGAGTCCTGAGATTAGTCCCTCCAAAAATAATCCGTGTTTGAGAGGTTTTATCAATTGATGATTCAGATTTTGCTTTCCCTTTCACAATTATTACTATTATTGTTAGTAGTAGTATAGTACTAGTACTAGTATTAATAGCAAAAATAGCAGCAGCATTAATACTATTATTGTTAGTAGTAGTATAGTACTAGTACTAGTATTAATAGTAGTAATAGCAGCAGCATTAATACCATTAGTATTAGTACTGCTACTACTAATGTTATTTTATTCCAAACAAAATTTGTATATTATATGTATGGTCATGTTTCTTTTTGTTCCATTAGTTAAGAGTTTCATAGATTTTATTAATTTATAGTATTTTGTACATTTTCTATTAAGGAAGTAAAAAAGTTGATACTTTGCAGAATTCTTGGATATATTTTTAGCATATCATTAGACTGCAGAGGTTGAGGACTGCTTTTCCAATAAGACAAATAGAATTTTGCTCAAATTGATTTGATTACTGTGTAGCTGTAGATCAATAAGAATTTTACTCTAATTGATTTGATTACTATGTAACTAAAAATCAATAATCCACAGGTACGTTGTTCATCAGACGAGCTTGATAGAAGTATCAAACGTGAAGTAAGCGGCTTCTGCGAAGCTATAAGGGCACCTGATGCGCCGTCAAGTGGACAGGTATGTGGGATGTCAGGTTTACTGTCCTAATGTACTCTAGAAGTACTTTATGATTGACTGCCTAATACTGGACAGCAATTGTACATTTGTTTGTCATCTCTGTCAGTACTCATTGTGAACATTGCAGACAAGATCGTTGTTATTCATCGCTTTGGTATGCGTCATTTGAGTTTATGTAGACATGCATTGCCCACTGATATTTTATTTATTTATTTATTTATTTTTATTTATTTATTTATTTATTTTTATTTATTTATTATTATTATATTTTTTTTTCATATATAGATAACTGTAAAATTGCGTCACCATGGATTCATTAACCAAGTTTGCTTAATCTTATCAATATATTGCAAACATGAAATTGATTGGGAAGAAAGGTTTTTTATATGTTTTACTTTAGTTATTGTTGATAAAAAAAATGACAGTGATGATTATGATGGTGATGGTGAGGATAATCTTTATTCATTGGATCCGGATGCTTCAGTGCCATCACAAGGCCTAAAATGCGGGAATTAGGCTTAAGTGAGTGGACACTACCAGGTGTGCAGTTTGTAGAACGTGCACATATGAACACTCGTCTGCGGTGAGAAGACGCTGCGCCACACCTTTACTTTGTTATTTTCTCTTTTTCCACATAAGCATTTTTATTTTTTATGCCATTTTCCTATGTCTTTTTTTGTTTTCTTATTTGCTTTATCTAGACTATTTTTCTTGCGCAGACTCCATATCACGCCTCTAGGTTTTTTATAACTCAGTGCAGTGATAATGAAAATAAGTAACATTTGGTTATTTGTGTCTTTTTTGTTTTATTATTGTTATTATTATTATTGTTATTGTTATTATTCAATTTTCTGGAATACAACCATTGCTACTGGTCATGGCAGTCAGGAATATGATCCTGAGTATGGGAATAGTGTCCTCCCTCCAGCCGGTGACAAATCAAAACTGCAGTGGACGTGTACCTGGTAGCAATAGGGTTTGGGGGTCAGTCATTAGAAGAGGTCTCGGAGAAAAGTGTGGTTAGATTTGTACCAGCATTGAATAAACGAGAGTAATATGCTCTCATCTGGTCATTGTGTCATACTTTGTCGTGATATATGAATGTTTAGGTCTTGTTATACAAGGAATAACTTTAAGTCATTTGTTTTATTGTCTTTCATAACTATAAGTAATGTTTTTAGGCTAATAAATATGGCTTTTTTTTTTTTTTTTTTTTTTTTGTATTCAGATATTCTATCACGATACATAATTTTTGCAGGTTGCTCTGGAATTTTATCAACGAAAACGAGGCAGATGGCCTTTTGCAACAGAAAGCATTCCATGGGAGGTTTGGACACTTAGAATCAACGTAGTTTCTCTCAACAATGAACATGGTGAGTATACGTACATGAAAATTTTATATACGTATATTGAAGCTTTTAAATGCCAAATATGTTGTATGTATCAGAAGGTGGAAATTAACCACTAGCCACCGGGTGGCATGTATGTACATGCCATGGCTGTTGTGGACTGAAAAACATCATATCATGACCATTCCCGCACCATTAGCTCGTCGGATGGAGTTTGGCTTCATTTATATGGTAAAGATTTTAAGCAATAGCATCTATAATGAAGGTAAACCTTCAAAATTATAATATTTTTATAGATTTATTAAAGATTTTAGGTGGTAAATGTCACTTGCAAACTACCAAACAAGCCGGGTGCAAATTGGGGTAACTGCCAATGCGCGCCAACAATCCTGTTTTTACGTATACTTACCAAACTTTTTTACCCGGCAGCATTGGGTTAACAATCAATTGTATGAGATCTGTACAGTTTAGCTCTTTTCAGTACTCCTAACATTTGATAAATTTTCACAGAACGTCAGATATGGCGAGAAAGAGTTGGAGATTCCCTCGGAGAGCGATTGCTACACATAACAGATACACTAAACCGGCACGACTATATCCCTTCACCTCCAAACCAAGCGGAAATAGACCTAATCTATGACACAGCCTACCCTGATGTCCAGCCTTTTCTATTCAAAGTAAGTTAAACAACAATTTATTTTCCTTTATGTTTACCCTTTCTTAACCCCCTAGCGACAGTATATTTTGAAGCCGAAAATAATAGTTTCCGGGCGGCTTCAAAATTAGCGCACGGGGCTGGCCAGGAATCTGCCCGTGCGCCGGCAGCGGCCTGCGACGGAAATAGAGCACAAGCTTTGATACAAGCGTCACACCGGCGGGACGCCCGACAATGTTTATTTTTCCAGGTGTCACATATGTGTGACACCTGTCGTAAGTGGGTTAAGAATATTATTTCATCCTCCAAATTTATGAATCAGCTTGAGGTATATTTAATGTGCATTTTTTAAAATGCTATTTATAAGGTGCTTAATATGTTCTCGGACATGAAAATGTTTTATTGTTGTATAAGTAAAAGAGGTTTTATATATCTAGATTTTCTTTAATAATGATTATAGAGCTAATGGTGAATATTGAACTCCTTGCAATGCAGATTTTTCTCCTCAGTGGCTTCATGCACTAAAATTTTTTAAACTTATCTTATGTTTTACTAGTTAACAACTACATGCTGATTTCCAGGCTTTTATGCAACAGTTGTCAGGTCATATATGGGGAATAGTCTGTGCATATTTTCATATTTTATATTAGATAGGTAATGTAGAAGCATTTTTAAAAACTAATTAACCCATTGGATCTGGTTGCATTACGGAAATCACTGTGCTGAAAATACGGGAAGTGGGTTATGTAAGTAGCCAACATCCTAGGCGTGCAGTAGGCTGGGTGCGTGCTAACACCCATGAGTGGTGACAAGACTCTGTGTCTCCCTGTTGCAAAGTTGTTTTGTGTAAACTGTTTTAGCCTTTTGGCCTTTTTCCAGTGTCTATATTTGTCTTTTGATTTACTTTATCCAGATGGTAATAACTTATTTTCCTTGCACAGACTCCATATCATTTCTGTATGTAGTAGATAACTATGGATAATTTGGTTATATGTGTCATTTATCTCATTTTTTTGCAATTTTAAATTTTCCACAATGCAACCTGTGCAGCTGGTCACAGTGGCCAGGAATATGGTGCGCAGCATGGAAATGGCATCCTCCCTGGAGCCGACACTCTTCCAGTCATGGCTCATGCACATTACATTCCACATTTGTTTATCCATGGGAATAATGCTAAAGCCCCCTTCTAAGTGCCAAATGAGTCAAAGTCATACTTCAAGAGGTTTGTTCACTCATGGCGTGTCTTTTCTGTCACTCTGGCTTTTACTCAAGACAGCAAGTTTGCGTCACCCAGCCTGCAGCCATTTTGCCTGATGACGGCATATTCACGTTACCTAGCCATTTTTTTTCCATGAAGTAATGTCATACAGATCGTAGGGGTTAATGGCCTTTTTTTATTAGAATCTGCTGAATTATTTGCAATGAGCCATTATTTTCTTTAGGAATTTTATCATTAATGTTTTGGTTTGTCTGATCTCTTTCTTTTTTTTTCTTTTTTTTATCTAAACATTCCATTTGGATAATATCTACAGTAAAATAATTGCAAGGAATTATATTAATCCACTCAGAGACATATATAATGTATCTGTGTATTCATTTGTTTCCATCATATCTCTTTTTGATATCTAAGAAATTCATTAGACTTAAATATATATCAGTTTAATAGATAATTACAAGTCCAGTCACTCCTGCAGATCAACTACAGCGTATCAGCCCCGACAAACCCTTCTGCCACAACTACAATCAAGAAGCTTATTCGAGACACGTTGGCTCTCACTTAACACTGGCTCCCCTTTAGGTTCATGCTTCAGTGCTGCTGTGCTGGATATGGAAAATTGATAACAAAAATAGTCCCATTAACTTTGTTACTTTAAAAAAAGAAAAAAAAAAGAAAAAAGAAAATGAAAAATGAAAAAAAAAAAAAAGAAGAAGCTTATGATATGCGCTAGAGTGAGAAGGTTTATCGTCCAATGAAATACTGGTATGTGATCTGATGGTGGGGACAACACCAAGACATTGTCAGAAATTAGTGAGATGTTTAATATTTATATATAGGTGCCGGTATTTCCACAAGATCAAACACTGCTAATATATTGATACTGACATCTTATTCACCCTAAGACGTAGATTATACTATTGCTTCTAGATATTTTTTTATTCCAAAAAATGAGATGAATATAGTTGTATATAATACTTGTACCTGCCCTCTAGATATTTTCAGCAGGTACTGCAATGCTGCAGAATTTTCACTTTATAAGTCACAAAGTAGGTTTATAATAAGAACGTAAATGGTAGTCCCAAAACTCACCAACTTCATCATAGAATGCCCATCTTTTCTCTATTGTTGCTGTGCGTATGTCTGGAGCACTAACCAGATTTTTTTATGGAGGTTTCTGCCAATTTTGGTTTACTGGGATACACAATCAAAGTGAAGGTGTGGTAACAAGGGAATATGGACTTTTACAGGAATATTTGTACTCGAAGATACAGACTGATAATCTCTCCATACCAGACAGAGACAGCAAAGCTTTATTATACAGAATTCTATATTACCTGTCTTCTGGTGGAAGGATTTTCATTCTGGTGTTGTCTGTGTGTGTGTGTGTTGAAGTATTTATACCGTATGATTTAATTTTTTTTTCTTCGAAGCATTATTGGTTTGAAGGTGTATCCCAGTCTGCTAATATAAGGATTGCTACAGAATTGTGTGTTGGGCTGTGTGGACACGCCTTTTGCTGCTTAAATGTTGCTTCTCTGCCATGATGTTAGCGTAGTACTGTTGCACTACAAAACGGTGTAATATACAAAATCCAAATCGGATGGATATAAACATGATGATATTGGGTGAATGTAAACACTATGCCTTCGTGTGTGTTTTATTTTTTTCTCTCTTTCTCTTTTCTTTTTAAAGTAATGCAATTTTAAGTATATATATATAATATATATATATATATATATATATATATATATATATATATATATATATATATATATATATATATATATACATACATATACATACACACACACATGTATGTATGTATGTATATATATATATATTATATATATATATATATATATATATATATATATATATATATATATATATATATATATATATATATATATATATATATATATATACATATACATATACATATATTCATATGTACGCACACACACACACACACATGCACACACACACACACACACCAGTTACACATACATACATACAACACGCACACGCACACGCACATGCACACGCACACACACTTATGCACACACACGCACACACACAGGACACACACACATACATGCACATACATATACGTATATACTTACATACATACATACATACTTATATACGTATATACTTACATACATACATACATACATATACACTTACATGCATCCATACATATACACATACGGATTTACGTACTTACACACATATATATTTATATACACATTTATTAAAAAAGAAAATCTAGGTATTCAATTATAATTGGTAATAGTTAATCTGATATGTAAATGTGGAAGATATTGAAAGGAACACCTATCATTAGATGTGTCTGCAGTATATGAAACATTTGAAACTGAATAAGATATTGTTATATTTGATGTTTAAGTAATAAAATGTGCCAAATATCTCCCTTTTGTCATGTGTAATATAATATTATTGTATGAAACCACATACATTTGTTATCAGTATCTTTGTTACTGGGCAGTGATTGTTGGTATGTTGTTAAGATTACATTGTTGTGCTAAGACTAACATTATGGCATAGAAAGTTTCACAGTTATGAGGTACCTATCGAGTTTGCAAGGTGGTTTGTTTACAGTATCTCCATAAAAAAAAATGTACTATAGGTAAAACTGGTTGTACACATTTATATTGCTAAAGGAGAAGGACATACTGGATATGTGTGAGCAACTGTTATCAGAACATTGACTGCTTGATAGTGATATCCAGAACATGTAAGTTTATTTATTAATCACTGCCTCTGGATAAGTCTCAGAACCTGTATATACACAAGTACAACAGTTGCAGCATGTATGGATGAAGTTAAAAGGGTCTTTGTCAATATTCTTGACAGTCATTTTGGAAATAAAGTATGACTTTGAATACATCTGTTTCTTGAGTTTGAATTTGGAGTAGTTCTATTTCTCAGTCAATTTTCTTTGGAATTATGCTTATTTATCCTGAGAGGGTTTAATGTTTTGGTGTGCGCCATGCTTTTGATGGGTTATGAAGAACATGCTCTTTCATGAGATATGTGAATATAGTAATTTTGGGGGATTTGAAAAGCAACAAGGGTGACATAAAGTGAAGGATGGAAACGTAATGGTGAGCTTGCCATGACTTCAGATTTCAGCTAAAGCAAATCAGCTAAGTGCAGTATAGGAGGCAGTTATGTTCAGTTTTGATGAAAAACATCTTTATAATTTTTGTCTGAAGTTTTCAGGATTTGTTATGTCATCTTCAGGATATATGCTAAAAGTCATTTTAACAAAGATCATGCCTCTGCAGTTTTTTTTACTTCACGTTACAAAATCTACCTTGTGTCATCACTTAAATGGTGTCCCTTATCTTTTCTCTTACTTTTAGTGTTGTTTTTAGTCAGGTACATTGCATCATATTTGTTTTTTGTGTAGATTAAATCCTTTCTTTAAAAAGGATATATCATGTGAGTTATTATGATTTTTAACAAGAACATATATATGTATATATATTTTTGGAGGCTTTGAAGAAATGATTGTATTGTTCTTTCTTTTTTTTTTTTTTTTTTTACTTTTCTATAAAAAGATATGATGTTTTAGAGGAGGATGTACAGAACAGCACTATGTAACATAGGAAGAAGTATACATATGGAATTTTATATGATTTGGCCTCTGATTTGCAAATTGATGTTTCACTTCACATAAATTTTGATTAACACTTCATGTTAATTAGGTCATACAGCAAGCATAATTTTTTATTATTAATGATACTGTAAAAAGCATTGGCTAAAATATTATATAATTGTTTGTAGCATTTTATGTTGCTCTCTGAAATTATTATCAATATATATATATATATATATATGTATATATATATATATATATATATATATATATATATATATATCATATATATGCATATATATATATATATACACACATACCACAACACACCACACCACACCACACACTCACACACACATCACACCACACACACACACACACACACACACCACACACACACACACACCACACACACACACACCACACACCACACACACCACACACACACACACACACACACACCACACACACACACACACACACACACCACACACACACACACACACACACACCACACACACCACACACACACACACACAACACACACACACACACACACACACACACACACCACACACACACACACCACACACACACACACCACACACACACACACACACACACACACACACACACACACACACACACCACACACCACACACACCACACACACACACACCACACACACACACACCACACACACACACACACACACACACACCACACACACACACACACACACACACACACACACACACACACACACACACACACACACACACACACACACACACACACACACACACACACACACACACACACACACACACACACACACACATTTTAAAAGGGAAGGCTTAAACAGTGTGTACACAAGCCCATATGTAAGTCAGCTCAGAGAAAACTATGCATCTCCAGCAGTGAGAATACAGGGAAAGGATGCAGTTGATTGACGTGTTGGATGGTTTTCGCCTACGTTTTTGATCTCTCTCTCTCGCTCCTCGCTCTCTCTCTCCTCGCTCTCTCTCGCCTCTCTCGCTCTCTCTCTCTCTCTCTCTCTCTCTCTCTCTCTCTCTCTCTCTCTCTCTCTCTCTCTCTCTCTCTCTCGCTCTCTCTCTCTCTCTCTCTCTTCTCTCTCTCTCTCTCTCTCTCTCTCTCTCTCGCTCTCTCTCGCTCTCTCTCGTCTCTCTCTCTCTCTCTCTCTCTCTCTCTCTCTCTCTCTCTCTCTCTCTCTCTCTCTCTCTCTCTCTCTCTCTCTCTCTCTCTCTCTCTCTCTCTTTTCTCATTTTTCTTCTTTATTTTATTTATTTTTTTATTTATTATTATTTTTTTTTTCACTTGTTTTGCTAAATATTTCTTGATCATCCATCATTTAAACTGTTATTGATTGTGTTGAGGGAATTAAAGCAGCTGTGTATAATGGAGGAAATTTTTTTTCTAATTGAACCCAAAATAGAGTCTTTTTAAAATAAAAGTGTATTTTCTGTTTATTTTCCTTAAAATATTATTCTTTTATCATATTAAGTGGAGGATTAGGTATATATACAGGGAAAGGATGCAGTCATATCACATGTTTTTCTTTTTATCTATTTATCTTCTATTACAATTTATAAGTCTGCCTCTCTGTCTGTCAGTCAGTTATTCATCTCAGTCTATTTTTCTGTCTAGCTTGCTATCAAGTTATTTGTCCATTTATCTATCTGCCTATATGTTTATGCATGTATGTATTTTCTATCCATTTATTTCCTCTTTAGCATTTACCTTTTTCCTGTATTTTCTCCTGATTTCTCTGGTCTACAGAAATCAGACATCTAGCTATCTGTCCTCCTCACCCATTTCAGTACACATGTTTACACTGATGGCTCTATATCCCTCTATGGCGCTGGTTACGCTGTACTGTTTCCTTCTCGTATATTCAACTTTCCCTTCTGTCCCAAGTCCAGTGCCCTTATAACAAAGCTGTACTGTGTTCAGCGCATGTCCTCCCTTACTTCTTTCCTCCTCTTTCTCTATTGTTACTTAATCCTGTAACTCCATAAGATTCAGGACTGGTTGTTCTAATTGTGAATGCACCACAAGTCTGTCAGGTTTTGATGGGTGCCCAGCCATGTTGGGATCCCCAGCAATGAGCAGGCAGATGCCTTAGCATGCTCTGCTACTATATCCACACCAACCCCATTTATCATGTGTTCAAGCCACTGATCATTATCCTTACTGCAAGACTTTCATCTCTGCCCACTGGGAGTCCTTCGGGT